ATTTGCTATGTGTAACGGGCGTGATCGGAGAGAGTGCCGGGTGAGATAACATGTACGCCGGACGCTGTGCTATAGCCAAATCAAGTACCAAACATGACCCATATAACGATACTGCTCGATGCAAAAATACAAATCTAATATACGTAGCCTTAATCCATTGTAAATTGTATCTGAATCAACTTTAATTTAAATTTCTATAACATATCAGATTTACAAAAGCGAGATTATTATTAGAGATCGATTTATTTATTATGAATTGTTTTTTTTTTTTTTTTTACAAAAAATTATTACGAGAATAATCAAAAAAGGTGTAGAATTGACTTTCAATCTGTTATAACTAGAAAATAAAAACTACTCAAAGCCTAGAAAGAATATATTACGATAATAATATACAGTATTTTACATGAATTATAAAATCTATAATATCTTTAATATTTCACTTATCTAAAAAACTTTATTGATTCTTATACAGGTATTAATGAAATTTCAATAATATCTGAATTTTTGAGAATAACGAATTACATTAATAAAAAGATACAAAGATACAAATTCCGATTTGAATTGAAATGCGTAAAGCTCAATTTATTTGCATTATTAATATGTATATAATATGTATATATAAAAGTTAAAATGAACATACAAAGTAGTAGAAAAAAAAAAAAAATTTATTTTTAGTTCGTCAAACAAGAATAGTGAGAATACATTTTTTTTGTGTTTAGTATGAATTGTATAAGCAAATTTTTTTCAAAATATTTTTGAATATCAAAAAAAGACTTATAATAACTAAAGTTTGTAATAGCTGCTAAAAGGAAATAGTAAATAACTAAATTTTAGTTTACATTAGAAAGTTATTTTCGCGAGATCGTTTTATAAAATTCGCAAAAAAAAAGAAAAAAAAAGGTAAGAAAAAATTAACCGTGCTAAAATATCAAACACTAAACCGGTAGTTGTTATGGTGGGTATTTCCTCCAATCACGTGGAGCGCGCTTCAAACCAGAAGCACCACAACCACGTACAGCCTTTACGGATTTCGACCAACGCTTTTCTTCAAAGCGACGGAGGAGCTCCGAGATGACAATATCGTCAACAAATACCATTTGATTGTTGCTGAATAGCAGAAAATTCTTCTGCTGACCAGTCGTAGTCCAGAAAACTATCGAGAAGGTCAGCAATAGTTGCTTCAGCATTTGAGGAGGACACATCCAAATCGGAAAGGTAGGGGTTATCGACGACATCCCGTAAAGGTTCCTCGTCTTGACGGGCCGCTGCTGGGACTTCTCGGATGATTCTCTTGGAAAGGAATTATTTAGAAAGGAAGGTAGAATTTCTTCAGGACTACCATTATTATCTTCCTTAATATTAGAGAAATCAAGAGTATCTTTTTCCGAGGCCGCGGATACTGCAGATCCGCGAACACCATCAAGGAGGACTTTATTCATCTCGGATACGGCTAAATGTGATTGAATTTCAGCAAGTTGAGCTGAAATCGAGTCAAGTTTTGCTGATAGATTTGCATTTTCTTCTTCAACAACTTTTAGACGTTTTGATAGATGGGCATTCTCTTCTTTAAGAATAGTATTTTGTGATTCTAAATCTGCCATTTGCCGCCGTTTTTTATCTCTAGACATTTGAGCAGCATGACGATTTCGAAGTATTCTAAAAAAATTTGAAAATTTTTAAGTGTTAAAAAAGTGTTTACACGTGTAAAATGAATAAAATAATAAATAATTTTAAAATATATAAAGATAAAAACACGTATTAAAATATACCTTTCACGTTGCCTCTGCTCTTTTTCTTCTAGACTTTCGGCTTTTCTTTTACGACCACCAGCTGATTTCTTTTTTTCATCAGTCGTTACATTATTAGTTGAAGATTGACGTTGTTCAGAAGGATCAGCTTCAGATGTAGAAGAAGATATAGCAGAAATAGGACTAAACAAGGCAGGAGCGATCGGTTTCATTGGCGTTATTGAAGGAGCCAAATTTGGTAGAGTTGTGGAGTTATTTGTCGTTCTAGAGAACATACAATCGTTGCCTGCCGCAAGTTTTCGTAACTCTTCTATATTAATTAAATCTTGTAATGTGAAAATACCAGTTGGCGGTATACGGTTCTCATCATCGTCTGCCTCTAAAGTATCCCTTAAATCAGGGGAAGTAACAGTAGACGATAAAGTAGGGGTATAAAGAAGAGGTGAATTTTCTAAAAGTTGTGAAATACTCGTTTCAGCTCTTAAGTCTGAGGTCACCATGTCCTCACTCCAGGTATTAGGAACATGGTTTGCAGAACATTTATAGTCGTTTGATGACGACGTAGATGGAGTAGTAGAGGACATGGTGACCTATAAAAAAGATTCTGCTTTATGAGTCAGTATGGTTCCAGTTCTAAAAATTTTCTAAAATATATACAATACACAAAAAAAAAAGCTAAAATAATAATATCGTATACTAATGGATAATGAAAAAACTTTGAGAAAAGAAAGTTGAAAAAAAATGCACCTGGGTAGGCCGAAAGCTTGTGGCTTTTATCTTGAACGAATGAAAGCACTTTATGAGAATAGATAAATTTGGGGAATAATTTAGGAAACCTCTTGAAACTGTAATGTGTTAAAATTTCATTGGCGGATCTTTGATAATCGAAACAATAAGAAAAACGAGGGAAATGTGGAAAATTACCATTGGATGGTTATGTTTGTTTTTAACTGCGGAAAATAATTAAGTTAATAAAACAAAAATGAGGATAATTATGATTGGCCAATTTTGATTACGATTTAGATCTTGTATTACTTATATTGTCAGCAGGCTTTGCCACTTGACTCGTGTTATCCTTCCGTGGGGCTTAGGATCCACAGCCAGGATTCCTCAAATACCTTCAGAATGACGGGATAAGCCCATCTATCTATGATATTAAAATTCATATAAATCACCGAATATTATTCTCTTCCCAAAAGTTTTATTTGCGGCGTTTATTGCATAGCCCATGACCTTCTATCTTTGCTTCTTTCTAACAATTGACATATTTATTATTTTGAACTATTTTCAGCCTTACGAAAGAACGTTTAAACAGAAAATTTTATCAAAGATATTAGGTATTTTTATATGAATTTCCTATTAATACGCGTCTCATCGTGTTGCATATCATTTCGCGTACGTACGTACGTAAGGGAATCATTCAGACGAATAAGGATGGTCATTAACGCAGTGAGAACATGTATTACAATATTACTACCAATTCCTGGTATTAGCAATTCATTATAATAAAAAAAAACTTGCAAATCTGAGAAATTGTGCAATAACATGAAACAAATCAAGATTTTGTTCTTACCAAATCAGTTTCGAATTTGTCCGTAAATGCTTCGTTCAAAGTACGAATTTTGATGGTGTGACCTATTTTAAAAAATTTGAACAGTTAATCCAAGCAGCCGAATACTTTTTTCTTTTTTAAGAAAATTCTAACCTTTTAAATTTGTTTCTAAATGATCAAGAATTCATAATCCATTTAACTAAATTAAGGATTTTCAATAATGATATACAGTAAATTTGTTTATTGTAAATAAAAAAACATCATATTATGTTTACTATGTGCGACAAAGTCGGCTGTAACATTCTTAGCATTAGTTTTATGTTTACATTTCCGCATTCTTAGTTTATGGTTTGCCATACTAGTGTGTAAGAGAAAAAAGACTTGTGTAATATATCGTTATACTTTAGGAAAAAATCACTTGAATAACACGTAGTTTCACACGGTTCCTTTAAAATTATTAGATGCTTGGTCAATTACAAGTTGTAACGCAGTATACGGGCAATTTAAAATTCCACAATTTTCTTGGGTCTCGTCCTAAGGGACGTGTCAGATACCGCAGACAATTTTAAGTCTATACATATAACCAATTAGAATGGACTAAATATAATATCTTAGAAGAGAGATGGCTAATACAGTGCCTGACACGCTTCTGAATTTTTGGAAATACGCCATATTTTCGCGTATAACAAAATTTTTAAATTATTCCGAAAATTATTCTTAGTAAAAACACCCGTCGAACGCCATATTATGAAAGCCTCATTGCTTAAAATAGGCGGTGTACCGAAAAAATATTTCGTTCGTATGCTATCGTTATAAACTCATTAATGAAGTTTATCTCTGTTACCACGAATCAAATAATGAATACTTACCGTTATTATCTTTACGGCTTATATCTATGCGTGGCAGAGTGAAATTGCTTATTCACGCTACGGTAGAAAGCCAAACGGCAAATGTCGTTCTTTGCTTTGATCTTGATCACAGTATATACGGCATTTTCTATTTATTTTATACCGATATGTTATGTCATTGTTTTTAATAAATAAAAACATTCGATTTACAGATTCTGTTTACCCTCGTTAATATCGTTTTGGATAATAAAGATTTGTTATACTCAGTGTTGAGTACTAGACTAAGTCCAGTCCTAAAATTATTGGAAAAATTGGACTGGAAAATGAAATATGTCCAATTTTCTGTGCCTGGTCCAATTGTCAGTTGGGCACTGGAACGATCCAGTTTACTACTGGAATTAACTGGCCCAATGGAGTGGACTGGCCCAGGGTTATTGCAAAACTATCATCGAGTATAAATTTCATTAATCCAATGTTATAATCATATGGGATCTTTGCTAGGAAAATCACCCTTCGGGGTTTTCCGATCGCGCTAATTCGGAAAAGCTTAGACCAGAATGCCAGTTCTTATTGATATGTAAATCACCTTTTGCTTTATTTATTCGATAGTTTATTAAATAAACTGTCAAATCAGTAAAGTAAAAAGATGTTTTACATATGAATAAGAACCGGCATTCTGGTCTAAACTTTTCCGAATTAGCGCGATCAGAAAATCCCGAAGGGTGATTTTCCTAGCAAAGATCCCATATAATACTATTGAAATAATCGTGTTCTATTCATTTAATCTATCAATAAATGTCTAGAGATTATGTTAACCATTAATCGTGTTGCTTAACTTTAAATTATATAATTAATCACGATAATTGTTTCGAATGTACACTTCATCCGCATATAGTAATTTATAAAGATTAATCAATTGAATTCGCCTTATGTTAAGTTCAGCACAATACAGACCTATTTTGTGTTAAACCTAGCATAAATTGAATTCGGTTTATGCTAAACATCACAAGACGAATCTGTTTTATGCTAAACTTGGCATAAAACAAGCTTATCGGGTATGTCTTGTATATAAAAAAAAAAATCAAATTTAAGCCAATCAAATAACTGGAATCATATACGTAAGTCCTAGTTAGTGCATTAGTATAATATTGTATACAGTATACAATATTATAATATAGATTTAAATAAAGCTATAATTATAAATAAATATATAACAGATAATTGCTTATTACTAGTAGATTGTACTTAATATAAAGATACTAAATTTGATACATACTAACATTTAAGTGTAGATTGAAGTATAGATACTGTATAAAGAAAAAGGTAAAAAATTAAATAAAAAATGTAAAAAGGTATATAAGATATATATAAGTCATAAAAGCATCTATAAATTAATACAGTCAAATCTCATAAATACAACTTTAAATGCACCATCTCTCTAAATACACAATAGAAAACTAGCCTCATAAGGAAGCTTTCAGAAATTAGCCGATTTTTGGGTGGGTGGTGGATAGGTTAGTCAAAGTATTAGATATACTGTAATTCCGGGCAAATTTATTAAATTCCGCCCAAAATCAAGAATTTTTTTTTAGCCCAAATTATAAATTTATTAATAAAATTTAATAATTAATAATTGTCACAGTTGATGCTGAAAACGGCTGATGCTAAAATTTGGGGTTTCTATTTAAATCTATAATACCTACTAAAATCCACATATACTTTTTTATTAATAAAACTACCCTACTAACCCTAACCTAACTATAAAAAAAAATATAAAAAAAAGGCCCAAAAATTTTTTATAATTTTATAATAAAATATAAAAAAATTTCAGCATCAGCTGCGACAATAATTTTTGATCTACTAAACCAATTTGGACAATTTAATTACCAAATTAATCATCTTAATAAGAAGATTCTAACAAGCCTAAAATAATAAAAATCCAATTGCTGGATTATAAAATTGATCTATATTTGTTTATTATTATTCTTTAAACTATCTAGTAGGCAAATTTGCTTACTAAAATAATTTTTAAAAAGTTTTTTCAAAATTTATTAAATCTTACTTTCTTATTAAGTAAAAATTAAAGATATTTGTTTTATTAATAATGTATTTAAAATTTATTGTTTTATTTTTAATTTTGCTATTAAAATTTTAAAAAGTTTTTTAAATTTTTATATGTTTTTAAAGAAAAAATTTTAGTTGCTACAAATAAAGTTTAAATTTTGTTTAATAATTTATAAAAAATAATAGGTAAAATCTAAATAGTGCCCCCATGCATATTGTGCCTCTCCTAAGTTTTAATAGCAAACTAATACAAAGATTAACATTAGGGTTAGGGTTGGCTGAGTGTTTTTTTAGGTAAAAATCATTTTTTCTTAGTTATACAACAGGGTTACCTAGTAAAATTTTGAGATATTAGCATTTTTATAGTAAGGGACACAATGTGCATGGGGTACCATCTAGTCTAGTTCAAAATAATATAATAAAAATTATTTAATTTTAAATTTTCTACAACTTTTTATTAAGATAATATAGTAAGTATTAAATCTTAAATTTTTATTAAATAAAATTAAAAAAAGAAAATAACTACATTTAGCTACCAGTAAAATTACCACCCTATTTATTTATTTATTTATTTTTTTCCGGTATTAAGGTGACCTCTTTGGCCGGGGAATGTTTTATTAGATAATTATGTTTTTCAATTACAGTAAGGGTACATATAGCCACACGTGCACCTTTTGAGTGCCTAATTTAAGTAGTCCGCTCGAAGGTTCTACACTATCTGCCGTACCTGTACCCCAACTAGGGGGTACCCATTTAAACCCTCTGACCATAACCTACTTCCAAACCAATGGATACTACCTAACCTGAGGCGTAGCTTACTATACACAGGTAGTTCACTATTGCCTAATCTGATTTTGCACCCACTTTAGAACTTACTAACCCCAATGAGGCTAATCTATCTATGAGGTAAACCTAACAGAGTGGTCCACGTCTCACACGTATATTCATCTGCATGTTTGGTAATTTTTTCCCAATTAGTACATATTGTCTGCCGCCATTGTGTTCATATCTTATGCCACCTTTTGGGGTACTGCCGTAACACAATCCATATCTCAAGCACAACCTTCCTAATTAGTCTTCCATTACGTACTCCTGCCCTTGTATTGGTTCACAACAACCCTAGTACCCACATTCAAGCCGTCTCTTTACCCGGATTCTTTATTGATCTATCCCTAACTTCCAGCTGGCAACCCGGAAGAGTTGGTCTGCCCAGGCTTTAGGTGCCTGAAGGACGCCCTTCCCTTGGTCCATACTTTCGGAGCATATGGCCTTTTCCTCTAGTGCGTCTAAACCGGCAGTTCGACTGGTGTGTCTCCCCACTAAAGGACCTGGTCGCTCGGTTCTCCAATCTCGGGCCCCGGTTCAAATTCAGCCTTCATGTAGTACCGTCAAAGATCACTACTACCTCCAAACTCAGGACTTCCCAAACGGGCTTCGATCTCCGGTCCTGTGATCTGTGCTATACACAGCCCACAGATTACAGCCTTCCAGAATCACCTCAATAGTGCCACTAGACACCATCTCGACAGATTCTCCATGGGCCAACCTTAGTGAAGATCGTCGCAGACTTTTCCCATATTACAAAAGTGCTGTTCCTGGGATTTGAACATGGGATCTTCCCATAACGTTTGGTGAGGGTGACAACTAGACTACTTTACTAAGTCGCCACACCTCCTTATTTATTTTTAGGATTAGGGTTAGAGTATTAAAAATTATTATTTTTTTATATATAGTTATTTTTTTTTATATAATATAATATAGAGCTAATATAAGATCCTAATCTTAGTTTTTATAAAGTTTTCATGGGTCCTAAATATTTTTACTTAGAGCACTTAATACTGTTTACTTAGTATATTTTTGAGATATAGCATTACTAAATACACTACTAGTAAAAAACCTTTTCCCGTAGATCATCAAAACAATAGAAAATAGTAAAAATAAACAAACTACATTGTCTAAAATTTGTAAATAAAACTAAATAACAGCCTTTAAGGCATACCAACATAATCAAAGAACCTAACTAATACTTTAACAAAGCTGAAAAGAAATCGAGACATATTACTTTCTACCCCGAAGCCTTTGAAAACTTTTTTGTTCCATTAACACTACCTTCCCATACTAGGATGGATCCCTCTGGGGCCTCTAATAGCACCAATAGCAGAACACAGGCAAAAACACCTGATAACTCATCTTCTCTAAAGAAGACGAAAACAACTAACAAAAGTAGCCAAACTAAAGTAACCACTTCACTGGCGATTCTTTACAAATTCCTCCTCGTACTGCACCCAAAAAATCAAATAAAAAATCACTTCAAAGTGGATATTCTAGCAAACCCTGTCAAAAAACCAAATGACATCATCCGATCCAAACAAACAAACAAGCATGGGAAAAAACAAACAAATAACATCATCCAATCTAAATAAACAAACAAGCATGGGAAAAAAGGAACAAACTTCCACGGCCCAGGCCAATACAATGATCATCAATTCGCATTCTGTCGGCTCCTTTCCCGATTTTACTCAAAACAACCCCTGGAACCCGAAGCAACAACCACTAGCACCAATAAAAACAAACCAACTTACTTCACCAAGTCACAGCCTTGAGAATAACATGAACACACAATCCAATACAACAGTTGAATCCCAAGAACCCGAAAAGAAGTTTTATAGCAAAGCATTTACCTCAAACATGAAAACAAACAACTCCAAATCTGACAAGTCACTTACCTGGGCTAATTCGGTAGCTAAGACCCTAGCTAAAAGCCGCAAAGTAGAATTTGACACCAACTTTTGGGATATCGATACCATCATCCAAGCCTTTACTTCTCCTGAACTCTTGCAATTATTTTTTATACACAAGATTCAAGCTCAACCAACTGAGCACAATATTCCCCATGCAATCTGTGATAAATTCGACTACCTCGACTCTGCTTTTTTCCATTCTTTCACCAGAAACAAGGAAACTCAACTCAAACACCAAAAGGAGTTTGACTTACTTTTTCAAATGGCAATAGAAAAGTACAAAAGAGTATATGATGTCCGTTTCATAAACAAGTTTAACAGAGACCAAGTATTTAAGAAACTTAAGACCAAACTCGCAATAGACTACATTTGCAATTTAGACTTCATATTGGTTAGCCTCATAACTGCACTCGCATAATCTCTTACTGTCTCAACTTTGCCCAAATTACCTGCTCTATCAAGTTTGAAAATATGAGAAGCCTCCTCAACAAAACACACACCTCTTTTCTTATTCTGTTACCTGAGCAGCCTCTGTTGATAGACTTGTCTATCCAGAAAATCCTTCCCTTTCCACTACCAATTCAAGACCATAACCTCACAAGGGGCACTGTATTAGCACTATACAAAGTGTTTACCTTCGAAAAACTCCCTGATAGCTACTTCGACACAGTTCTCGAACTACTTCTTAGTGACCCTTCCAAACTAAATAAGGAAATTCAGGATCTTTTCCCAATCACTAAAAGATCTGCACTACCATACCTCTTCGAATATTGAAAAAAATTAAAAGTTACAATTCATTAGAAAAGAAAATTCCAGCTAGCTACTTTAACTTACCTAAAGCCAAACCACAACTTCCCACTACATCACAAAACCTCAATTCAGCAGTTAGACACCTATTTCCATGCAATTCCCGAGATGCATTGACTTTAAAAAATATATTAATATCCTCAGAGAATATTATAGCTTTAGATGTGTTCTGAATGACTTCTTCATACAAAAGAAACTACTACCAGCTGATCCTTACTCAATTCACACTATTGGATCCCAATAACTGATACACATCTAGCCAAGGAATTCATTGCAGAAATCCAGGACTCATACAAGTTCAATATCCCACTTCTACTTAAATATATGACTGCCAACTCTACAAACAAACCTCCTCTTCCAACTAAACCCAATCTTATTACTGAAGCTAGCTTAACTTTACCTATAAATAGTTCAAAAGTATTAGTTGATACTGCTTGCCTTCTTCAAGAACATTATTTTTTCACCAATTACCTATTGAGTGAATTGGCATCCAAATAAACCCCGACCCTTTAACCAAACCACCATTACCAAGTCAACTCTCTGAAATCATAGCCACTTAGAATAGCTAGAATTATATCACACTATTGAGGTTCCTATCACAAAACACAACCAGATCGAGATGACAATTGCAGATCTAAAAGAACACTTCAACTTCCAAGGCACTCCTCCTCACCTACTTAACTTAACCAACT